TAAGTGTTTCTGTTGGTTCCTGATGGTTTTGTAATGTTTTGGCTTTTTAATGGGTTGATATCACAGTGTGATATAATCAGTGTGAACCTAGTTATTGGTTTGACAGATGACCAATAGCTGATTCTAAAGGCACTTAAGTCACTTGATGGTTTCCTAATGGGATCTAAAGGTGTTCTACAGGACACTGGTGGTCTCTATTGGAAACTATTAAGCCAATTCCCATTAGAAAACTATTTGGTTTTGATCCTTTGGTCTTTTCCCGGCAGGGACAACATACGCTGGTTTTGCTGGTGACCAGCTGTGCTACTCTGTGCTGGTTTTTCCAGCAAGGTGAGCTTCCATGTTCTTGTTTGAAAACAATATATTTTTCTAGTTGAGTTTGACAAGAATGCACATTATTACTGATGCTCTCTGTATGATTTGCACTGTAGTATTTATGCTCTTTTGAGTATTTTTCCCCAAGTTCGTCCCAAAGACGTCTGGGTTTCTTTACTTTCTTTATGTACTTATTTTTTAACCTTATTAGGTTCTGTTATCTTCTCACTACGGCTTGAAATATCTGTGCAAACTACCCATGTCACATTTTCAAAATATGTGTCGGGATCAATTCAGGTTCAGATTTCATGTTCAGGTTTTCACAGCCCGCCTCTCACTGTTGACAGGTTTTACCTGCATTTTCTCCTTTAGTTAAATTTATTCTTTCCTTTTCTATTCGCTAGTTTCATTACCTTCAAACGGTTTTTAATCTGGCTGCATTCAAGTTGTTGGCAGAACTTAGTTTGAGTCAGCTCAGGTTGGGTCCAGATGCAAAATTTGATGATGTGGTTCAGTCTGAATTTGACCTGAACCACATTGTCCAGTTTTGAGTCCAACCCTGAGATCATTTACTCTAATCCAATCTGAATGACACTATCAAGTTTAAGGTTTGGGTCGGGTTTGGAGTCAAAACTTGATGGCGAGGTCTGAATCGGACAGTTCTAGGCCAGTATTCGAGTTCAGACTTTTAAAAGTCCACTTCTTGTCATAGTCGTGTTGAGCGAGGAACTAAATACAGGTGAGCCAGAACACAGAGCTACATTTAACACAAAACAGCAGCAGCCAATAAATACAGACCATAAACTATACAGCTGTACATAATAGACTATATGACAGTGAGTACTGGACAGAGACTAAACAGTGGACAGTAGAGTGGAGGGAAGTATAAAATGTCTCTCTTAGCACTCAGCAGTGGTTATTTGAATGTGTATGTGAATGTGAATCAGTGCACACTGATAATATTAGTAATAATCCATAGTCCAGACAGTATGTGCAGAATATAGAACTCAAACCTGAATCACATGATCGAGTCTGAATCTGACCTGAGCCTGACCTGCACCACTTAAACAAATTAATGCAGTTGTTTTCTCCAGATATAAATAGCTTTTAACCCCACCTGACATGGAAAAAGTAATTCGCGCCTTTGTTGCATGCCGAATGGATAACTGCAATGCGCTGTATCTTGGGGTCAATGAAACAAATCTTGTTAATTTACAGCCAGGTCAAAATCCCACAGTTTAATTATTAACTGGTCCAAAGAAAAGAGACCACATTAGTAGTGGTGTAACGATTCTGAAACTGAGACCGAAATCGCAATACAAATGTCCACAGTCTCGTGTCATGGTTTGGGAGATGGCACAATGTCACACCACCGATACCCCCCAAACCCACTGCCCCAGCTGCTGGTGCTGCCTGTTGGGCTTCATTGCAAAACTAATGTAACAAAACTCACTTTTCATTTCACAATTAACACTATTACACATGTACATCACCAAATTATTATTCTATTCTGTGAAGGAATATTTTTTGTTTATCAGGGTACAAACAATGTAAATCTTCCCTCAAAAAGGTACAACAGGTCCAGTTGTGAACCTTAAATAAGTTTCTCCAGGTGAAAAGTTTGTATTTGTACCTTTTCATAACCGAATGTTTTAAACAGAGCAGTAAAATAAAAGCCTGGAGACGAGACGGGGTGTGTGGAGTCAGTACAGCTTAGAACATATCATTTCAGTGGATTATGGTTCAGTTATGTTCCCTGACTAAAGGTACTGAGATGGACCCTTGAGGGAACCACCCAAGTGAGGAGAGGGGCGCTGACCCAGTGACAGTTTAGTACCTTTATTTCTGAGAGTGTATATTATCATCTTCCAACTGCATGTCACTTGACTTTGGTCCAATCATGATCAAGTGATCACACCTGAGGTGAAAGTTTGGCTAGTTTAATTAGCTCAAGACAGACTATAACCCTGAGACGGCAGACGTCCCTGGCAAATTCAGCTCAACAATGTGGGAACATTTTGGTTGTCCAGTTCAGGGATGGCAGTTGTGTCATAGACAAAACACACACAATTTGTCATGTTTTAGCTCAAAATTCGAGGTCTGAACTGAACTGTGGATTTGGAGAATCATTACTCCCCTACACATTACTCCAGTCTCAGCATCTCAACACCGGCTCCCAGTTCACCACAGAATCCAGTATAATATGGCTTTGATGGTCTTGCACCTCAGTATATTGTGCACATGCTCTGTCACTGCTGCTTAGTTACTTCTGACTGTTCAACAAACTTATCTTAAACTAAGAGGATATTGTGCCCCCTGCTGTTGGGCTTTGGAACAGCTGATCTCAGACAGGCGTCTTCAGAACGTCTTTAAATCTAAGTTTGTAACACATTTCCGTTGTCTTTAGTAACTGTTGAATGGTTGAATTGTAATGCACTGTCTCTTGTGTATGACCATGTGCTGTAGATATGAAGATGAAACTGAGGTAGTCGTCTGCTCAGACAGTCTGAAGCACCACCAGGCAGATCACTGAACTCACTGCCAGCAGGAAGTGACTCTTCTTGAGGCCAAGGAACTTGGCCCCGATGCTCTGTGGCCTTCTTCCAGATGGGAGGGGTGAACAGTCTGTTTGAGGGGTGAAAGAGACTCATCTTCTAAACTCTGGAACCCAATTCCACCCTTAATTAGGCGCTCGCATTCGGTACACTCTTTAAAGAAACATTTGAAAACAAAGCTTGTTAATTTAGGAATTTTAATCAAAGTTCTACTTTTTATCATGTCAGTAAAGCACTTTGAGGTGCTATCTGTATAAAAAATTAAATTAAACTTAAGCTCTATAAATTAAACTTATTATTGTTGTGATTGGTATTATTACTACTATTATCATTATAAACCTATATGAAAATATTGCTAACAGGAATTGATAAAAGGGTCAGAAAATACTTTGTTTACCACTGTCTGAGAGCTGGTAATGTTGGGGTGTGCTTAAGATTAAGACGTCACAGTGCGGTTGGATTACAAATTGTTGGCAGCTGGATTACATTTCATATTCATATCTCAAGCAGAGTGTAAGAAAACTCCTGAATTTCTCTTCTGCTGTGACATTCACAGAACACAGTTTAATTTATTTAACTTCCAGTCAAAATTATCCATCCAGATCAGTGTTTAAACTATATGTACTGCCACTGCTGCTTCAGAATTTTATAAAATGTCATGAAGTTGCAATTACAAAACTCTGCAGAGGGCTTCTAATTTGAAACAACAGTTACAGGAAGTGGACGAACATAGTGCGAACAGGCAAAGCTGAGTTGAGTGCTGAATGAAACAGCCATCAGTGGAGAGGACTGTTCAGACAGTTTTAGTGAGTTGTAGTTAGTGAACTGGCTAACTTAGCACACAGTGAGGAGGTTGGGGTGACTTTATTCTACAATGTTATTAAGATCAGGTTTGCCTTTTGTGGACCTTAAAGTGGGTCAAAAGGAACTGTTTATGTGTTTTATTCTGTGCAAACCTGGCTACTCGCTTGTTATAATTTGTTAATGCTAGTCAGCTAGGGTACAGGGGTCTGCCCTGCCATCGCTACTAAAAAATTCTAGAGGAAACACTGCAGATTATATACATTGCCCTATGCACATAGGTACTTTCACATTATTGTGATTTGACATTTTCAGTGCAAGAAAAGTTTGCACAGTGTTTGTTTCTATGTTTGACTACACAGCGTACTGAATCTCTCTATTAAACCAGGCTTATATGTAATATGGCTAGATCATTTTGTGGGAGATGCTGACATTGTCCCTGTCTTCATGAATATCGCAGGAGGACCCACTGACCACCCGTTGTATTGATCCTAAAACAGCTACGGTGTTCTCTGTCTATTTCTGGCTTTTTTATGATGGGCCACAGGTTTCTTTGAGTAATCAGATCTTAGACTGCCAGTATTTGGTTTAGGGGCAGCGCTGTAGGCATTATTAACATTGGTGTAATGTCTGTCCAGACTGTTGTCACTTTTATAGGGGAATTGAGTTATAATTGTGGTGAATGTTTAAGTCACAGTACCTATCAGCACCTTTAAGCAGCATTTACAGTGTTCGAACTTTGAATATCTCATCTAGATGTTCCTTAACTTTCTAACTATCTTAATATACTGTGTCAATTTAATTGGTGCAGGTGTTTTTTTTCATCTTGTGGTCCAAAAGTGGCCCTGAATTTCTCTCTGTGGTGTGACTTGTGTGTCTATATGATTGCTTCAAGAGAACAGACTGTTTTTACCTTGTTAAGTCCACGTACTTGGTCATATTAAGTGTGATTCATCATATCATATGACTTAAAAGACTAAATTCTTGTTTTCCCTTAATCTCCAGTAAAATGTAATGACATTTGCCTCTAAGCTATGTTCTGATTTTATATGATGTCACTGTGGCAATGCAGAGTACCTAGAGATACTGCAAAAATCTATAACAGACAAGAACCATACCATAGCCTGATTAAGTTAAATAAATAAATACATGTAGACATTGAGAACAATTAGTGTATTTTTAAGAAGTAATAAAACCCAGAAATGAAGTGCAAAGGAATGAAGAGAAACAATGCAGTGATTCAGAAATGAAGTGCAGATGAGTGCACCAAGTTGATACCCTAGGTGTTGCCTAAAGAGGTGAGTCCTTAGACCACAGCAGAAAGAATGAGTGACTATGCAGTTTTAAGTTCAGAGGGTTCTACCACTGAGGGGCAAGACCTTCCCTTATGGGCACATTTAGATTTAAAGGAAGGACATATCAGTGTATCAGTGTAAGACCTAAGAATCTGTTCAGTGAGGGAGAGAGGAGCTATGGCCTTTTGAAGCCTGGAATGTGAGAACCAGAGCTTTGAATCCAATTTTTGTTTTCACAGGAAGCCAATGAGTGATGTTAGCAGAGACGTTACATGGAAAACCTTTAGGAGTTTATAAACCAGGCAAACTGCAGCATTCTGAATGCTTTGTATCAGAAATGGCATATGACACAAGGTCACCAAAGGAATTCCATCTATGTACAAGTGATGGGTCTCCATCCATGAACAGGTACTTGGATATCTTCTATTGGAAGTAGTTGTTGGAAACAAGAAGTATAGCTGGTTGACAAGAAGCCATGTGAGCTTATCACTGATCTCAGTAACTTAGTTTTCAAGGAGAACAGAAGTGGACCAAAAAGTAATCCTTGAGGGACTCCAGTAGTGAGGCTTTGCTTCCGTACTTCAAATTCTCAATTTCAGAATGATACATAGTACTGCAGTAATACATCATACTGTACTACTGCTGATGCTTTAGATTACATAGTTCTTCTTAGACATCTACTTTACTTAGCCTTGCATATGGTACTTAACCACTGTGACACAAGTGATGACTTGCGTAGACCTTAGCCCAAGCCCAGGGCTTGGGCCTGGGGCCTGGGACATCTTCAAGGACTTGGGAGCCTTGGACTCCTAAAACCAGGTTGAGGATGGAACTGGGGCTTTAGCTGGAGTCCCTTGCACTCCTTCTTAGACCTCATGGTCAATATCTTGAGGCTCTAGTCTCAGGATACAGGGTTGTGGTCTAGTATGTGACAGTGAAGTGGTGGGTTTTGAGGCCTTAAATTCCAGTCAGGTTCAACTTAGCATAGACTGTTGTAGGGTTTAGTATTTGAAGTGTCCTCCTAATGGCATAAACCATATGGAACTAAATGTAACACTGCTGCACTTTCTGTTGTTATGTTTTATGTTGTTTTATAAGAACATATTCTTGGTATGCTTTTTCCTAATTGTTAAAGCAGACCCAAATGTTTTAGAGTTGCACTGAATTCACAATTAGACTTTTGTAGTTGTTTGTTTCACTTTTGTTTATTTAATCATTGTGGTTATACTTGATATGGATTTATTCTTTTCCCCTCCAGGATTGACTGACGGCTAGTCTTCACTTGCTCTTGCTGACCACACAGATTAGATTTACCTCCACAAACACGTTCGAAGATACTACCACCAGAAGAATCTGTCAGACTTCTGAAAGGACAGAAGATTAGAAATGAGAATATGGAGTCTGGAGGAAGCTCCACTACTCAGCAAATATTTTCTGGGACTTTTAGCACTGACACATCTTGTAGACGAATGGAGAAGAATACAGTAAAGGAGAGAACTCACCTCTGCCTGGAGTGTGGGAAGAGTTTTACCGAGAAAAGTACCCTAAAAATCCACCAGCGCATCCACACTGGAGAGAAACCCTTTCACTGTTTGGAATGTGGGAAGAGTTTTACTCAGCTGAATCATCTCCAGCTTCACCACCGCATTCACACAGGAGAGAAACCCTTTCACTGCTTAGAATGTGGGAAGAGTTTTAATGTACAGAGTCATCTGCGACTACACCAGCGCGTTCACACAGGAGAGAAACCATTTCAGTGTTCATATTGTGGAAAGAGTTTTAGTGACAAAGGCAATCTCAACAAACACCAGCGCATCCACACTGGAGAGAAACCGTACTGCTGTTCAGAGTGTGGAAAGTCCTTTAAGGATAGAGGTCCTTTCAAAGCTCACCAGCGCATCCACACAGGAGAGAAACCGTATTACTGCTCAGTATGTGGGAAAAGATTTAATCAGCACATTAATCTCCAGCTTCATCACCGGGTTCACACAGGAGAGAAACCGTTTCAGTGTTCATTCTGTGGAAAGAGCTTTAGTGACAAAGGCAACCTCAACAAACACCAACACATCCACACAGGAGAGAAACCGTACTGCTGTTCAGAGTGCGGAAAGACTTTTAAGGACAGAGGTCCTTTCAAAGCTCACCAGCGCATCCACACAGGAGAGAAACCGTATTATTGTTTATATTGTGGCAAGAATTTCAATCAGCAGAGTCATCTCCAAAGACACCAACGCGTTCACACTGGAGAGAAACCGTATTATTGTTTATACTGTGGAAAGAGCTTTAGTGACAAAAGTACTCTCAAAAAGCACCAGAACATTCATACAGGAGAGAAACCGTTTGACTGCTTAGTGTGTGGAAAGAGCTTTACTCAGCAGAGTAGCCTCCAGCAACACCAGCGCATTCACACAGGAGAGAAACCGTATTACTGCTCAGACTGCGGGAAGAGCTTCAGACATTCAAACACTTTAAAGGCACATAAGTGCTCTAGAGGAGAGGTGGAATCTCCTAACTCCTAACTAATTTGTTGCATCGGTGTTGAATTTATATCCAGTTTTTGCTTGAAATTTTTCATGGAAATCCATGAACCAGACAGGGCCTAGGTGGGTTGCCTCAGACCAGTGGTCACCAACTCTCCTCCTAGAGATGTATTTTCTTATAGAGTTTTGTTCCAACCTGCAACTAAGGTTGTGTTCAGACTGCAGGCAAATCGGATTTGTCTCTCAAATCAGATCTTCTAAGACGACTGCCTACACTGTTACTTGCAAGTGATCAGGTCTGATTTGTGTGTCTGGACATCACCAGTATATCTGCATGGGTTGCCATGGTAACGACGTAGGCGTCATTAACTACGTAGCTATGCTGGTGACGTGGATTTCAAATGTGGATGCAGGAGAGATGGAGGAGCATCATCTCACCCTCCAAACTCTTCAGAATCCTCCTCATAATCATGAATCTTTGGAGCTCCTCTTGAATCCCAGCACTTCATCACTCTGGATTTGACATCGTCGCTGTTTATCGTGTTGTGAGTGACGCTTTGAAATCAGTTTTGAGCGTCCAGACTGAGACACATCTGTAAAAATGTGACTGTAGTCGCATTTCAAACCACCTCCAAATGTGGTTTGGATCTGATTTGCAAAAATCAGATTTCATGTGTTTTTTTGCTGTCCAGACTATCAAAAATCAATCTGAATACAATCGGATTTGGGCTGGCAGTCTGAACAAGGCCTAACAGGCTGCTGCCCCGTTACCTAACACTAATGCATCTGATTCAGCCAATGAAGAACATCTGCAGGAGTTAATTAGCTGGAGCAGGTGTGGTAGATTGTGGTTGGAACTAGACTCTGCAGGAACATAGATCTCCAGAACCAGGGTTGGAGACCACTGCTGTAGACTCTTCTGTAAGAAAAAGAGGTCTTCACTTTTTCTCCTGTGTTTTTATATGCATGTAGGACTGTGCGATTGTTATACATTGGATTTGTATGCTTACAATGTTTATTGTCTTTAGTTTGGTGTATGCGGGTGGTACGAAAAGGATCTGAACGTAGCCGAACGCTCTACACATTTACCAAAAGAAGTAGGCTTTGGACATCAATCAGCTGCTAATCTGCCAGTATCTGCACCAGATGGAAAGAAACAAGAACAGGGTGTCCCTGAGGCCTTTTTACATGTATTGAAGTGCCATTGTAAGATCATCATACACAAACAGATGAGGGAAATTCTGAAAGTACTAACAATTCTTTACCTAATATGTTTATGGTATTTGTACAACGTTTCAGAGAGTACATATAAATTTGTACATATAAAACTGACAACTGCATCTGATGATGCTTGCAGGCTAAAGCTAACTCTGGATACAGTTTCACATATAGCTGGACAAAGCAATGCTGTTAGATCATCACCTTCATATATTGTATGTAATGTTTGATAACTGAAGCTAACGATGCTTGCAAGCTAAATTGGCCAGTTAAAATAAACCTCTCACATGTACAGTTCTGTCACTTAGCTAGCGAGATAACGCAGTGCTATTACACTGACCACCTTCACAGATTGTAACTTGAGTAATATTGTCTATTTATTATTTCTGTTTTTATTGTATTTGATACATGTAAGCACTTTGTAATTTTCATCTGGTGTTTTTTGCTTTTATTGATGTAAAGCACTTTGAATGGCCTTTGTATATGAAATGTGTCACATAAATAAACTTACCTTGCCTAATGTTTAATAACTGCGGCTAATGATGCTTTTAAGCTGACCCACTGTGAAAACTAGCCCGACCCAATTCCTCCTGGCTGACTTTGCCGTAACTGGGCCAGAATAACTTCAGAATGGGCTCCTTTCCACTGCACAGCCGAGCAGTTCTGAGCACGAAGGCTAACCGTTCCAGTGGCATTTCCACACGGACACGATTCGACACGGAACACTTTTCAACATGGTTCGCTAACCGTAGTTGAGGCCATAGAACCGTTTTGTGGGATGTTGAAATGAGAAGATAAAGCCTCATATCTGAGAGCATTAATTCAAATGTCTGGTGTTGAAGTGTCAGAAATATAAAAAATAGAATTGTTCTGTGGAGGTTTGAGCTGCACCCTGCCAGGCGACACTAATGCTAGTGTAGTTATCCAGCTACAGGTGAAATTACGCCAGTACAGGCTCAGTTTCAGTAACTGATGAGCAAATAACTGAGTTAAATTAAAGACTGTATGAACCTCTCTGCATATGGATCACCCATATGTCTCTCTGGTTTAAAATGCTGTTGGGTGAAGAAAATACAGTTAAAAAAGTTAACTGAGGATCTGCCAGTGTGTGAGTGGAATATCCATTAGTTGTGGGCTTGGGGTGACTTCTTGGGTGAATCCTACATTGCTCAAAAGAACAGGCACTTAAAGACACCCGCTACTAAAAAAGTCTGGGAATGAAAGAAGACATAACGTCAGCACATTTGTCTGGATCTGCACCGCCAGAACGGCTAATTTTATCAGGATGTTTGGCTTCTCTCTGGATTTGGTGAAGACACGCCCCCTTTTCTTTTGATTCAGCCTTTAAGCATGACAAGCCTGAACAATGGTAATACCATTCAGCAGGGGTGCTCAGTCCTGTTTCGGGAGATCTACCACCCTGAAGAGTTCAGATCCAACACAACTGGATCCAATATTCAGATTTCTCTGAAGGCCTTCATTACCTGGATCAGGTGTGTTAGATTAGGTTTGGAACTAAACTCTGCAGGGGGGTAGATCTTCAGGACCAGGACTGAGCCCCCAACCATACAGAAATCTGATATATGGCAATATAGAGATTTCAAATATATTGCATATATTAGCATATATGGATTTTCTTTATATCAAACTTCGAATCGTATTACCCTCCTATGCAACATATAAACCAACCTAACTTTGAAATTGGCCATTTTCAAATACAGGACATGTATTTCATCCATTTATCACTATTCAAACATATATGTGTAGCACACATTTAACAATATGTGATGGAAAACAATATGGCATATATTACTATATGCTAGCTAATGTTTTTATGCATCTTCATTTCTTCCACATACTTCCTAAAGTGAAGTGAAAATTAGCTTAATAGCTACAAAACTAAACTCTAAAACCATGCACACTGTAAACTGTGCAATAAAAGCATTAAAACATGAAATAAAAATATTGTTCTAAGAAACATTCAAATAATTTTATAAGAGCAAACAGATAACACTAACATTTTTAACAGCATGAGGATGTTTATGTTTATTTGATCAACATATTGTGCATGTGTTCACCCACCTATAAGACATATATGTAGAGCCCATATATTTTATGTCCAATATATGTAAACAACATATATCATAAAGGGCCAGGCATATTTTTAAAAATATACGTACATATATGTGCATATATGGCCATGTATAAGATTTGCATAGGGGGTAGCATCATCTCTTTAAGCTCTTACAGCGTATGTAAGTATTGGTAGCATGTAAACAGCGAACAAACCCTGCCAATATGGTGCAACTATCCCATAATGCAGTGCGACATGACGTTGATTCACGAGCCCCATTACACAATTGAGACGATCTCAGACAAATGGATATAACAGACAGCACAAATCATGAAATGCAATAATTTATTAAAGTATTTTGTAAATCCAGTTACAAAAAAATCATTTTGTGATTTTTCTTCTTCTTCCAAAGCAGGTTTTTGTTGTTGCTAAGTGAGTGCACCCTGGCCCAGCTGCCCGCAGCCAACCAGACTCATCAGTGGAGATGGAAATGGCTTTGATCTCGTTGCCATGACGATGACGTCTGTCCACCGTCCCCTGATACTGCAGTGACCGTCAACATTCATTCATATTAGAAACGTCACACATACTGAATGAATTCGGTGGTCCGAGCTTCGGTATTCATACAGTATACCATCTACACTAAACCACCAACCATACAACACAATAAATACCCGACCCGCCCGCTAATATTCAGACACTCCGTCTTAGGCCTTCAGTCACTCAGGTACCAGGCTACATGCGCTCGTTAGAAAAAGGTCTACTAAAAAATCATATTAGAAATCAGTAAATACTTCACTGACTGCTCAGAATAATACAGTATGAATGCGATCTTGCTGATATCAGAGGATAATAATTAAGAAAACCACTGCGTTTCTCAGGAAGAGACAGTGTTATTTCGCCCAGACATCCTGACGCAGCCGGTGATTAAGCCAACCACCGTCTGGACTTTACATGGACTTAACAGGTGGACGAGTTAAAGATAGAAACAGCAAGGCTTTAAGGCATCAGTGTGTTGCACTAGCTCCTAACACACCACATCTGTTCTCCTAAAACGAGGATAATCACTGCAGGGCATCGTGATGAATGATGTCACGTGGAATGTCAGTTAACTGACGTAAAGTCTGCTCAGCCCTTGTTGAGTTAAGGTACACGGTAACTGGTTTAAAGACGCAGTGAAGCCTTTTCTGAAACAACCAAAGTCATTAATACATTTTTTCCTGCTGCATGTATCTGTCCACAGCAGATTGGCCACCATGTGGCAGTAGTGGTCATGTGTTTGGTTACAAATGCAGCAGCAGTGCTGAGATGTTTCAGCAGCAGTGGGGTGGTGGAGAAGGTGTCAGGAGGCCACTCGTGTTCCTCAATGCAGCTCTGCTGTGCTGAGCTTCTACAATCCTTATCCTGGACCAACGTGAGGTGTTCCTCCCTGTGATTGGCCGATATCCATCATCTGATCCAATTCCTTCCGTAGCTGGAGGCGGAACGGACGCTGCAGCGCTTCTTCACAATCATATTGATGTAGGCCTTCATGATCTTGGTGATCTCTCCAACCTGTCGCAGTCAGAGACATTTTTTAGGCAAAAGAACATGAATACTCTCACAGCTGTGATTCAGTCGCAGGAGATCAGTGTGATTTTGTTCACTATAACACACAACCTCAATCGGTTGATTGGTTTTATACGAAAGCTTTACAATAATAATTAAAAAAGCGTTAAATAAATGTTTCAATGTTTCTAGTTTTGGTGGTCTCTTCTGCCAAAAAAATGTAGTTCTACCATGTCTGCCATGGTACCATGGGATGTTGGGACCAACATCAGGCTCTGAATTTGATCTGCTAATGTTCTTGAGTTTTGTAAATTTCTGCATATGCAAGTGGTTAAGATGTAAACAGAGCGGTTCAGAATGGTTCAGAGTGGTTCAGAGTGGTTTGGTGTGAAACGCTCTGTTCTAGATAAACTTACAGAGTCAGAACTGTTCACAGTGGTGGTGATAGGAACCAGACATCCACCTCTAAAAGCTCCTCACAGAAAGTTCCTACATGAAATGGTTATGAATTCACTGCCTGATGACTGAGACACTGTTTTATGATAGTTTAGAGAACTTAAACTCCATTCATGGTGGAGGGATACATGCAGGGCGCTGTGAGGCAAAATAGTCCCCAAAGAAAACTTATTATTTCAGATTTTCCACTATTTTCATCATCAACATTCCACATAAACTCAGAAGACTCGTGTAGGTTCACTGGTGGTTCTGGATAGTAAATAAAATGTCTATATCTGTGTTGTAGTCATGGCGACCCCTGGTTCCTATCACCACCACTGTAAAGACATCTGAACCATTTCACACCAAACCACTCTGAATCTCTCTGTTTACACCTCACACACTGAGTTATGGTGGAATTTTGATTCTATTTTAACAGTTAGTAATAGCTTAGAGTAAAGTGACCACTGTTGTTAATTAGCAGTTGGTGGTCAGTGGAATGATACAGGTCTGGAGAAAAAAGAGTGTGTGGCTATTGACTTGTTCACTTTGTGTCATCTTTAAACCTGAAAACTTTCCAATAATTTTAGCAGAACAATCTCCAAACTGCAGATAAAGCTGGAGATGCTGACCTTTCTGACCTTTATTCTACGCTATTGTGGGTGGAATTTCCAGTGTAATCCCAGCAGATCCAATCAACACTACATCCATACAATCTTTGTGACTGGCTGACCACTAGATCCACAAGAGTATTCTCGAATTCTGCTGGGCTCTAAAGGTTTGATGAAAAAAGCTTCTAAATACTGAATAAGCAAACAAATATCAACATAATGAATGAAGATTTGATTATTTAAATCACTGCAGCAGCACCAGAATCTACACTGTGTCTAATGTGCTCTGGTACCTGCGGCGTCTCAAAGAACATGTCCCGCCCGTCCACGGTGATCTTGTAGGTGCTGGGCATCGGAGCTCCGAAGAAGACGATGTGTTCGTAGGGGAACGTCTCCAGAGGTTTGGCTTCTCCTCGCTTATAGACGGAGACGTTCTCAGCACTGACTCCCAGCCAGAGCTCTCGAGGAAAGCCGCCTTCTTTAGACTGCACACACACACACATACAGACCACTGCTTAACCACCAGCCTCATGAATGAATAAATAATAAATAACAACCACACATGAAAGTGGCAAATATTAGAGTGGATTTTGAAAATACATAAATAAAACAAAGTACAAATACAAACCCTACAACAAGCACATGCAGGTCTGCAGTACACTCAAAATACTACTTCAAAGTTTCTTTTATTATTGTTATTTTTTTAATATTGTTATTTTATTTGTTTTAGCAGTTGCTGTTAAACAGTCCTGACAGTAGGGGGCACTGCAGCGTTATCCAAAAACCCCACTTCATTCCTGACATAAATAGAAGCGTTTACTAGAGATTGAAGGATCAGTGTTTTTGGGGTCGATGCCGG